GTCCTCTCATGGCACACTAGGATACTGGTTGAAAATCACTGGTCTAGTGGATAAAAGTTTGAAATTAATGACTAATGTGAAATATTAAATGTGTTTTCTCTTTTAATTTGTTACCCAAGCTTGTTATCTTAGTAGTGTTTTGATATATTTATGATAAATGAGATTAACATATAATAAGATGTAATATACACATATACTGGTCTATCAATAGTTACCTATCAGTTTGGCTAATTTTATATATTTTTAGTAGTTCATTTGAAGGGTTTTAACATTTTGTTCTTTAATTCCAGTGGGTTGGCAGCTGGAGAAGATAATGGACAGAGAGGTTATTTACTGACCTATGTCATTGCATATATTCGAGTAAGTTATTTCCCTTATCACTTAATTTATATTGCAAATAAGACTTTTTCTTAACTTTGAATAAAATTATCTTTTTTGTTTTCTTAAATTTTAAGCTACTGTAAGTTAGCACATTATTTTACATGAACTCTGGATTAAATTCAAACCTTCTGTGGGTGCTTTTGAGGAACTTAAAGATGATTTAATGTCTTTGTGCTGTTTAAAAGGAATGGAGGCTTTCTTTGTTTAGAACTGAGCATGCCATTCCTATGGTACTTGGTTAGAATCAAGCTGTTTTAATAGCAATATTCCTCACTTGATTCATAATCTGTTTTAAAGATATATAAATCTTTAACTGTGTCCTATTTAACGTGATTCCAAGTAGTTATTGGTTCATTGGTGATGATTAGAGTTAAGGAACTAATTTATGTGTATTTGAGCACTAAAATTTTTCTAATTCTAGATTTTCTGAGAAATCCATTATTCTTATTAATCTCAATTATGCTATACTTAACCAGTGGCAAAATTGTTCTTTTGAAATTTCAGTTTTTCATTTTTATTCATTTAGTTTTGCTTTTCTAGTTTGGTTGTAACAAAATCAGGTTTCTTAAATGTTTTCTGCTTTTTGCTGGGGTTACTTTTTAAAAATTTCACCTTTTATATACTTTAAATGAAGTTATTCTAAAAGGTCATTTTTTTCAGATATCTTGGGAATTTGGCTTCCCCAAACACTAAAATTTCCCTTTTTTCATCATTACATTAAAACATTTTAAAATTAAATCATAGTAGATGTATGTATTTTCAGACTATGTGATATTTTGATACATTCATACATGTAATGTAAAAAGATCAAAATTGGGATAATTGGGATATCCATCCCCGGTAAATACTAACTTTTCTAATTTTTCATGTGGAAATTGTTTTAAAGGAAATTCTTAGATAAACTTACAACATTTTATTTCTCTAAGAAAGCTTGAGTTAATGTGTTCTCATTTTAGAGATAATTTAATCTTACTAAGATCTAAATTTTAAATGGTAGTGAGTTTGAAACAGGTAATCCTTCCCCTCTTGTGATGCTGACAAGGAAATGTGTATTTATTGCCTGTTAGAAATTCTGCTTAAGAGCTGTACCCATTGTGAAGAGTAATAGGTAGTTTTAGCTCTTACAAATAACGTCTGCCTCTGCAGACTGTCAGTGCTCCAGGTTCTCCCCACAGTAAGCATTTGAGTAGACATAAAGTTTTGTTTATTAGGCATTTTCTCTGATGATATTGACCATTTTCCCATAATAGCTGAATTCAGAATTCTAGAAAAAAATGAAATATAACTGTAACAAGTACACCAGAGACACGATTTGGAATAAGTTTCTTTATTTTTAAGATTTCTGTTAATGTTAAAGCTTAGTTAAAAGCAAGTTAGAGCTTTGTTTCCCCAGGATTGTTTTATCTTTAAAAAATTTTCCAATGATTGATACCATTCTCACCAATTATATTCCAGTTTTAGTAAAACAGTTGTGCTCTGGGTAAAGAAATTAAGTATTATAAGTTATTTGTAATTGATGATTATGTATAATTACTATGTTTTGTGAATAGAAAATAATTTTCTACCAGAAGTGCCTCCAGATGTTTTGGGTATTTTCTCACTTCAAAAAGAGGAACTCTATTTTTGAAAAAATTTTTTAAAGATAGTTGATTTTAAGGGAAATATCTTCTCTTCTTTCTGTTCACCCCATATTCTCCTGCTCCTTCAATCTTGATGACTGTTTTTGATGTTGATTAATTTGCTATTTACACCAAAAAACAGGACTCTGCTAGTATTCTCTATGTATACATACTGTTCTTATATAGAGACTTCATTCCCTGAAGAAGCAGAACTTTTGCCTTTGCCCTGCATCAGGCACTCTGCCTGTTTCCAAAGATACAGAGGGGTATAAGACAGGCAAGCTTCCTCTGCTCAGGGAAGTTGTAGCTCACTCTTACAACTTTCCAGGGCTCTTTTGGTATGAATAATGAAGAGCAGTCAAAGTTAAATTAGAAACAAGCAGTACTGACAGTGAATATGGAATACTAACAGTATTATTGCTTCTTTGACATCTGTTATGGTTTCTTGATTTTTCTGTGTGTATCTTCACAGGACTTGGGTTTGGAATACTATGTATTAGGAGAATCTTTTGAGACCTCTGCTCCTTGGGACAGGTAAAATATAATGCCTGATAGTATTCATATATGAATTGCTTAATGTAATGTTTGTGTGTTGATGTATAAACCATATTTTCAAGCCTTTTTTTTGTTTGTTTGAGGCAAATTGTCTACCATCCAAAGTACAATGGTATTTTTGAAGTTTACATTTTGAAGAATTTTATTGAACACAGAATGTTACCATGTGGTTTTACTTAGCTGTTAACTTAAATTCTTGAATGATTAATATATTTAATCTCTAAAAAATTTTCCCAATTATAAAACCAGTTGACCTTGTTTTGTAATGCATCATTTATGTTTTGATAATGGTATGTGTGTTACTAACTAAGAACTTACATTTAAGTGATTTCTGAAAGAAACCTGATTTAACAAATTAAATGCAAATTTTTTTTTTTTTTTTTTAAGAGATAGAGTCTCATTTTGTTGCCCTCGGTAGAGTGCTGTGGTATCACACAGCTCACAGCAACCTCCAATTCCTGACCTTAAGCGATTCTCTTGCCTCAGCCTCCCAATTAGCTGGGACTATGGGCGCCCGCCACAATGCCCGGCTAGTTTTTGGTTGCCCTTCAGCTGGGGCTGGGTTTGAACCCGCTACCCTTGGTATATGGGTCCAGTGCCCTACCCACTGAGCCACAGGTGGTGCCCTAAATACGATTTTTATTTTTAAACTTAAGCCAGTTTCTGATACTGGAGCATATTATAAGAGTGGCCCAAATAAGATTAATGGCAATAAATTTTAGAAGGGTTTTATCATTGGAAATACACCGCACATACACATGCACATGCTCAAATGTTGGTTAGAAAATTAATAAAAACTAATTAGGAAATGTTAAATAATGTATTAAAAATACCCTTGTGAATTTTTAATCATTCAGTAATAAAAACATTTTCAATAGACATTGACTACCCCTTATCAGAAATGGTTGAGGCCAAAATGGTTTTGGATTTTGGAATATTGGCATTATGTATGTACCTGTTGAGCAACTGAAATCTGAAAATCCAAAATCTAAAATGCTCCAGTGAACATATCCTTTGAGTGACATGTTGGCTTTCAAAAACTTTTCAGATTTTGGAGCATTTCAGAGTGTGGGATTCTCAACCTGTATGTTTTTATTTTCTTCTAGTATGCCTACATTTTACTTTTTCTTTACAAAATATTAAAAAAACTATGAAAAAATATATAGGGTATAATAAATCCCCACAAATTCACCTCTTAGATATTGGACATCTTAATTGTTCTCTTTTGACCTCTCCCCCTCCCTGAAAACCTTTTAGTTTTCTACATGAAGTCTTCATCTGTTGGGAGTTATATGACTTTGGGTGCATTGATCGTCATGCATCATACACTGTTAGATAGTAACCTAATTTATAGTTTCACTCTGTTATTCACAATTTTTTTTCTTTTCTCATTTTTTAAATCGGCTTTCTCAGGTTGAAATGTTATTTATAGTTTTTGATGCTAAATTTTAACAAGGGGAAAAAAACATGTAAATGAAAAGAATTACCAATGCATCAACATCTGATACTTTTGCAGAGCAGAAATAGTTTGGCAGCTGTTCATAGTTCTCTCAAAGACCATTTTATTCTTTAATACCTTTCCTTCCGTATATAAATTAATTTGGCCTGTCATGCAGATGACCACAGACTAGTTGGCTTGTTCTTAATGAGCACCATTTTGTAAAATTAGAATTTATAAAACTTTCAGATACTGTATTCTTAAAAATAAAAACTTTGATATGCGAATAAAACACTAAAATCTGATTTCTATTTTAATCATATATTTCTTATTTTTACTGGAAAAACAGGTGAATATGTTTCATAAAGCATGATCTGCTTAAATGTTACTGTTTTGATCAAATTAGTTCCTACACAGTTAATTCAACCTGAGACTAAAGATAGACCTCTTGAGTCTCTCTGGTACCATTTTAGTTCTCATGATGCTAAACAGACCAATGTTTTAAACACAGAACCAGTGTCCGTATGTGGCCAAGATATTTATTGGGAGTGATATGGTTTATATATGCCTTAAGAATTTCATTTTCCAAATGAAGCAGAATTCATAGTTATGATATAATATAGCTTGCATTCAAAAATAAAGGAATTAAAAAAACAAAACTAGATGATTAAAAATAGATTAATATGCTTAAATATTGTCCATCTCTTTTCCCTTTTAAGGGTTATTGCTATTTCCTCACCTGTCTGTTTTCACTGAGTTTTCATATCAAACAGTCTAGCATAGCACACTAACACTGTGCACACAGTTTTTGTTTAATAAGCCTTTGTCACGTTGGATTTCAACTTGAGATAGGCTTATGTAACCTCATGATTTTTAATTGAATTATTTTTACATTAAGTAAAACTATTTGGACATGGATAAAGATTGGTATTCATGTAACCTAGAATTGAATTTTCATTAACTTGTTTTTTATAGCTCTTAAAATTTTGGAATTAAATTTATTTTAAAATTGAGGTTTTCCATGTGTAGGAAACTGCATTCAGGAGATTTGAATATTCTCTTCTGACTTCTGTTTTCCTTATGGCAAAAAAGAGCTTCATTGACTTTCCATTAGGAATGGAGGGCTCAGTTTGAATGATTTAGGCCCTTGTCAGTTTTGAAAGGAATAACTATGATAGCTTTAGTTAAAAGAATTTTGGAGTTGAAATATGTAAGATTAACCTGCATTTATTAGAATTTGTGTGCTTCTCATTTGAAAACTTAATATTGTATTCATTTATCTTTTTTTAGGGTTGTAGATCTCTGTAGAAATGTAAAAGAAAGAATAACAAGGGAATGCAAAGAGAAGGGTGTTCAGTTTGCTCCTCTTGCGACATGCAGGTGAGGTTTTTTAATTGTTATACTCTATATTCTGAAAAAACTTTTCTTTTTTTTAATCGATGGGGAAAATATAATTTGCCAGCTTAGGAAAAGCTTCCGCTTATTCCCCTTGGCAGGCTTTCTTAAACTTCCCTTCCCACCTTGTTAGGACTGTAGTGCTAGTATTTGAGCCCTGTAACAGTAGGATGCCCTTCAGTGAATAAGACTTCTATCCTGTTGGGGCAGCATGCATTGAAGAGCCAAGTGTCCAAGCTCCTGGAAGTAGAGGATGACTCCTTCCTTTACTAAAACTATAAATTGTGTAGTCAAGAAGCTATAAACTATCTGCATAGTCAACATAGCTCTTTCTTTATCAGAGAAGAAACAGCTTTCACCATATTGTTAATTAAATGAATGGGAGTAGAATGAAGGAATATGAGGAACAAAAGACCCAAGTGAGGACTAAGCCAGTGCTTTCCAATAGATCTTTCTTCAATAATGAAAATATTCTATATCTAGACTGTCCAGTGTGGTAACCATAAGCCTCATGGGGCTACTGAGCAATTGAATGTGGCTAGTGCGACTGTGGAACTGAATTTTTAATTTTCTTTCCTAATTAATTTAAATTTACAAATGCCACATGTTGTATAATCCGTATTGGACATGTTCCGTAGCAGATAGTGAGCACGTGGTTAGCTGGTGATCTTGTCGTTTTTGTATAAAGCAGCAGTCCAAAAGGGGGTTTTCTTGAGAAGGGGGACTTTGTATACAATATTTTGATATTTTCTGTGTAAACACATTGAATTTAACATTTGACTTCTCAAAAAAGTTATAGAATTTGAATGGAAAATAAATGGAAATTAGAACAGATTACAAAAATGGGAACCTTAAATGTAGCAATCTGGCACTTTAAAATTTATTGAACATTTTATGTTGTATAGCTGCTTTGTTTTTTTTCTGTGTGTATGTGTTGTATATGGTTTTTACAAAGATATCTGCAATATTATAGAAACAACTTACTATGTAAACATGAGTAAAAGGTAATTTTGGAAATAATGTAATATCTCCATTATTAAGTACACCTGATGCTAGTCTTCTGGAATAAGTTATGTTTTAGCATAATAGTATTCTCTATATATTTCTGTTCATGCTGCTTGTTCTTCTGATATGTGTATATCTGGAATTACTTAATCTCAGCTCAGGAAGCAGACCTTGACCAGCCTCTGCCCCTCAACCTTGTTCCATAGCAACGTTATGCCTACTTTTTAAGTTTTGTATTGTTAAGAGTGCACGTGTCTAAAGACTGAAGGTGCTGTTTTGCTATTTATTAGTCATTTAATCTCTTCAAGTTCTAATTTTATCGTCAATAAAATAGTGGTGATAGCATGTCTTGATGGGACTGTTATAAGAATGCAATGAAAGCAAATGAAAAACTTAAGGCTCTGTAGAGCTATGTAAATGCTATAGTAATTATTGTGATGTAATTAAATTAAGCTTGAGGTAGACAGTTCCCACTAGTATTAGTAAGTAAAATTTGGATATTTGTTTTTTCTCCCCAGTGACAAATCTTCCTTAAGGCATCCAGCTGTTAAGCCTGCTTGTTCTTCATAGCATGATAATTTACATACATTTGTTTTGCAAGACTAGAAATATTTCTGTCTCTTTAAACTGCTATTTCTACTGTGGTTTTTTTTTTTTTTCTTTTTTTCTCTGTCTTTCTTGTGTTCTTATCTTGTACTTCTCTACTACTGTATTGTGTTTCTTAGTTCTACCTACTGCTGCTATTGGAAGAGATGTCTTTGAGAGTTTGCTAAATTCAGCAGGGTAAGAAAGTAAAATGCTAGGCTGAGTGCACAAGCTCACACCTGCAATCCTAGCACTGTGGGAGATGGAGGTGGGTGGACTGCTTGTGCTCACAGGTTCCAGACCAGCCTGAGCAAGAGCCAGACCCCATCTCTACTAAAAATAGAAAAAACTGAGGCAAGAGAATCTGCTGAGCCTAAGAGTTGGAGGTTGCTGTGAGCTATGCAGACGCCATGGCACTCTATCCAGGGTGACGGCTTAAGACTCTGTCTCA